TAGAAATAATCAATATTTTTCTCTAACATATTTTATATTTAGCATATAAATATAATTTTTTATGAAATTGTGTTGTTTTAATTAATTTTCTTCATTCTAGTGAATTATTGTTGTACTGTTCGTCTTACATAACATGAGAATACGTGTAAATATTAACATATTGGTTGAAGTTATAAAGAAAACTATTACCCATGGATAACCGTGGATACCCGAAACCCGAACGGGTATGAACATGGTTTGAATTTTCTACCCGTTTCTTATGTGGATATGAGCATGGGTAAAACCCGAACTACTTTGGGTAGGTTAACAATTATTGCCATCCCTATAGCACAACAATTAATTATGGATTCCATTACTATTAATAAAATTTTGATTCAAGGATTTGATTTAGTGGTAATAATTTTAACCTCGAGTTGTAGATTTGAATCCCTATAATAGCGAACCTAATTTTAAAACAAATCATTTTATGTCACCGTTATGGCCTTATCTAATTTTTTTTTTTTTATTCACTTGCAAAAACAGAGAAGTACTCAAACATACACCATCCCACGTAAGTCCATCACTTGAATAATATTGAATGCAACGGGGAAGCAAGTGATCTGCATTTGAGATTCTGCTTTCAAATCCAGGATCCTGCAAATGATAATGCTAAATCCCATAATTGTCTTGGCTTAATGCGATATTTCTAGGGATGGCAATCAAACCCATGCCCATGGGTATACGACTGCCCCCGATCTAGTCAATGCGGGGAATCCCCACATTGACCAGGTATGGGGTGAGTGGGTAAAACCGGCAAAAAGTTTGATAGGTATGGGGCGGGTATGGTTTTAGCCTCCCCCGCCCCATACCCATACCCATACCTGCCCCACCAAAAATATTTCTTCACATCTGAAAAATATGTGAATCGATTTGTAACCTATCAATAATAGTGAGTATAACTCAATAAAAATATATAGTAGAAATGCAATTAATTGACCACCCAAATCAAAATCTAATTTATTTGTCTCAATTTTCCCTTCACTCTTTCACTTTTTCCCCTTGTTAACAAGATTATGTTAGTTAATTATTACTTAATAGATGTATCACAGTAGAGAATAATGATTTGAATGACATTGTACTCTACTATGATATGGATTAATGGATGCTTTAGGATAAGATGCTTTGAATCGTATTAAAAATGATTGTCTCTTTGTAAACTTCATGATATAGTAGGTGCGTTTAATGTTATAATTGAAAGTCTACATGTAAAATATTCTGTATTATAATGTTGGATGTACGGGGCGGGTATTACCCATGGGTACCCGAAACCAATGGGTATGGGGATGGGTTTGCAAAACCTTCCCCCGCATGGGTATGGGGCGGGTATGGGTATAGATATTTGAAAGCGGGAATGAGGATGGTTTAGGCAAACCCGCCTCAAACCCGTCCCATTGCCATCCCTAGATATTTCTTGACCCAAGCAACCTATAAGGAGCCTCCACCCACCAAGATGTCCCCTCTATTCTTGGTCTAGGAAGATATTCACAAGCTCACTCCAAGAAATTAAATTTATATATGCGGCTAATTGTTCAGACAAATACTGTACTTACTTTTAAAAGTATATCATATGCAACAGATATACAATTTCACACAATTATGTACCTCTAAAGATACTAGATATACTACAAATATATAATGTGCATCTATAGGACTTTTTTCCTCTATAGTTATTAAGCTATGCAACTCTCAATTATTTATTGTGACTAATAATTTTTTTGCCTCAAGAGATGTTTAGTATTTGCTGCTATAGCCATTACCTTTTAAATATTTATATATTTCACTTTAAAAAAACTAACAATCAATTGTAGAGGGCAATTTTATAATAACTCTAGGAAAGAGAAAAAGGAAAGGTTGCCATATTGAGATTGTTGATGTCCCAAATGGCTCTCTTCTCTGCCTTCACACTACATTCGTCCATCTTTCACAGCAGGTAGAGGCCTCTACTCCTCCTCCCACTGTCGATGCCATTTTTTGACCCATCATCCTCTTTCACTCCCTCCAGACCCATACCCATCTTCCAGCCATCTCGTTAACATACAATCGCATGTACCCTCTTTCTTCCATCGTCACCGTTGAGTTGGGTCGTCATCGCCGTGGTCGAGCCCTAAGAAAAGGGAAGAGAGACTAATTGGGTTGGATGAGAGCAGCAGGAAAGACGCCTCATCTCTTTAGGGTTTTTCAATTTATATAGGACATTCAACGGCTAATCAACAGTGATTAACCACCATTCAAATCCCATTAACCCGCATAGGACACATGGCTAAGTGGGATTCGTTACTACATAACGAAGTGTTTAACATATTAAAGAATGTAAAATGATCAAACGACATCACATGGTAAAATGCTAGTCTAGTTCCAAACTTGTATGCGCTTCCACTTCAGTCCGTCATCTTTGTGCTGTTGACACGAGCCAATCCTTACCTCACTCGGACTTTTGTGCATAATAGCTACAACTGCAGATTTGATTTCTTCTTTCGCTTTCAATAGGCCCCCGCAAGATGGTGAGTAAACATCAATTACTCCCATCTTACCAAGCAACTTTAACAATATGAATCCGCTGACTCCTTTAGTAAAGATATCAGCCAACTGATGTGAAGTGTATAAGTAGAACAGTTTGATCAATCCAATCTTGATTATCTCCCTAGTTACATGCATATCTATTTCAATATGCTTTGTTCTTTCGTGAAAAACAGGATTCTCAGTTATATGAATTGCTGACCTATTATCACAAAAGAAACTAATCGGAGTCATAACATGTATTCCCAACTATGATAAGAGTTCCTCCAACCACTTCACTTCAGCCAGGTGTGCCAAATCATGTTACTCTTCCTATGAAGAAGACCTGGAGACAGTCGTTTACTTTTTGCTTTTCCATGTCAGAAGAGAATCACCAAGGTAAGTGCAAAAACCAGTTATGGATCTCCTGGTGTTAGGGAATGCTGCCCAATCTGAGTCAGTGTATCCCGTAATCGAGAAGTCATATTGTCTCCTGAATAGAATCCTTGACCTGGTGACTTCTTAAGATACCTCAACACTCTATAAGTTGCCTTCATATGAGTGTCAAAAGGGTTACATTGGAATTGACTGAGTTGCTGCACAGTAAAACATATGCCTGGCCTTGAGTTTGTTAAGTAATGCAGTCTGCCAATGAGTATCTTGTAACAACTTGGATTCTCCAGTGGAGTCCCTTCTTTGGAATTGAGCCTCACTTTCATATCAATTGGGGTTTGAGTCTCTTTAGCATCTGCATATCATGTGTCCTGAAGTAGATCAGAACAGTACTTCCTTTGATTAACAACAATTCCCTCACCATTTTCCACTATCTCAAATCCCAAAAAATATTTTAGAGTTTCCAGATCCTTGATCATAAAGGTTTTCTTCAAATACAACTTCACCAAATCCAAGTCATCAAGCTTCTCTCCAACAATTATTATGTCATCTACATAAACAAGTAGAATAACACTTTTTCCTTGTACCTTCTTTGTAAACATAGAATAATCTGACATGGATTATGAAAAACCATTCTTCAACAGGGAGTGACTTTCTAATCCTGCAAACCTTTCCTTCACTTCCTGGAAGACCAGTAGGTGGTTCCATGTACACCTTCTCATCAAGGTCTCCATGTAAAAACGTATTTGATACATCCATCTGATCTAAAACCCAATTCTTTGTTGTTGCAGCTGCTAATAAGGTCTTGACAGTGTTAATCTTGGCAACTGGTGAGAAGGTGTCCCGAAAATCTATGCCATATATCTGTGTGAACCCTTTGGCAACAACTCTTGCCTTGTTAATTCACCTTTACTATCATTCCTATTGCCTTTTCCTGTCATTTAGAGATTTATCTTGATAGAAATTTTTTATTTCTTTTAACTCTCTACCAACCTAGCTGCTTTGAGAGCAATGCTATATGCTCTTCTATTTCTTCTTCATCTTCTAGTAAATGATACTTGAGAGCTAGATCCTTCCTTATCTTGGTACAGAGTTTAAAATCTTACTAACTAGGACTTCATTAGTATAAACTTTCCCAAGAGTCATTAAAACCTACTCTGATACCAATTGTAGAACACTTGTTGCACACAAGCAACATAAATAATAAGATAAATGAAATACGTGCTACTAATGATTGGTCATATATATGGACTTGTGCGCTAGGCTTGACTCATTTCTATGGCCCAAGAGGTTATTGAGATAGGCTTTGGCCTTTTCTCTAATCGTCTTCCAACTTTGACTAGCAAGGTCGTGTACCTGTTAAGGATCAATCACAAGATAGTAAATATCAAGGAGAAGAACATGTGAACATGATTTTGTTAATCAGGATCAAAGAGGAAATTTGATACCCAGACCATCATGCCTCATAACAGCCATCATATTCATATACTAGCGTTGATCAGGTCCATCCATCCATTTCATTTATTTTTCGATCAGTCGTTTTCCCCATCTAATCGAGATCCCAGATGGATGTATCCTTCGCTGTTGCCGATTGCCTCTCTTGCTCACCTACTCCTACTCCTGCTCCTGCTCTGCTCTGCTGTGCTTTTGTTTGCAGTAAACAGAAACTGTATACCCACACCATCATTATAGTTCAAGCAGAATCTCTTTCTCCCCGATTCTAATTATTCTGCATACAAAAAATAAGGTTATATATACATATGTTGATTTTTGCCTTCTCCTTTCCGTTTAGGGCCATTTTATGTCCTCTGTGTTCCCACAAAGGTGTCCTGTTTTGTTCTGGTTTTCAGCTTTGCTTGCTTCCAGTCATACATAATTGATCATTCCCCTCTTGATGGTTCTGGGACTTTAAGGAGAAAAAAGATCAATTAACACACGAACAATGTATATATAACTTCAACCTAGCTAGAGAAGTTAATTGTACACTTTGGTTTGATAACAATGCTTCCATAAATATGTACGTGCTACTTCTTCTCTCTCACACATTTCGAGTTATTAATACGACTTGAGTCTTGAAATAGAGTATTGTATTTGAATAATGAATTGCGTGCAGCCCATAGGTACTCGTTTTGAACGCAAGTGGGAATTCGTCTTTCTTGCTTCAAATAATGAAATGATGAATATCTATGGCCACACCCCTTTTATGCTTCAGCCTCGTTTGACCATTTACAAAATTACCACATCATTTGTCTTCCTCGAAGTGAAGCAGTAAAAATATAGGGTTGGGCCAGCTGTGCAGCAACTCCCTGGGGATGTTGAACACGTGCTGGTGTGTTCCCGGTTGTGGCCCGTAAATCGAACCCTAAACCCTTGTGCTCCGGCTCGAAAATCGAGTGCGGGACTCTTAACGTTGACCGGTGGGTCTTTACACCGGAGTTTCTGTGCCTCTCCCATGAACGCGAAAAGAAACTCCGATGCCCATTGGGCCTCACCGGAGGAGTGGTTAGAAGGTGGTGGCTGCTGCAAACCCTCGCCGGTGCTTGTGGCCACTGTTATTTCCTCACCTCCCTGACACCCCATTTTTGTTTTGGATCCACCAAATAATGTTAAATCAACTGTAATATTTTTATCACACCCATTTTTATAGTTGATTCAACAGTAGATGAGATATCAGATATATAAATGGATGTAATAAGAATAGGATAGAATTGGAACAAAATGCATTTAATCCTAAAAAATAATGTTAAATCAATGTATAATATTTTTATTATACATCAATTCTATTAAGTTTAATAAAATATGTCAACACGATTGTGTATACAAGATGAAACTGTATTATCCAGTAGTCTTGGGAATATAGACAAGACTGTTTGAAAAACCATGGACCAAACTAGATCGTACAGTTTAATATAGACAAGATGTTACTAGATCGAGCCATCGTGACATTTCATTATTACTGGGCTTGCGTATCTTTTCTTATTAGTTCGTATTAAGTCATTATTTGGGAATATTAGTATTAATTATTATTAGTAGCTGTTCTAGTTGGATTAGGATATGCGATAGGTCTTGTTTAGTATTTGATTAATGTTTCTTGTAAGGGAAGAAAAGGAATTCTAGTAGGAAAAGGATAAGGAGAGAGACTAAAGTTTTGGGTGAGAAGGAAAGGGATTAGGTTGTGTAACTCTATAAATAGAGACATTGTCTATGAATAATAGTATGAGAAGATTGGAACCCAATTTATGTTTTGTTTGCTTTGATTATTTCTTTCGCTTGGTTTAGTAATTCGTAGCTATTTTGGGTTGTTCTCGCCATTAAGGAGATCCTCTACTCGAGAGTTTCGAGAAGCGTATCCTAAAGTCCGGAGAAGTAAAGATCTAGTACGTAGAATTCCGCCCCGACGGCGCATCTACGTAACACAATATACCTTTAAGAATGATTTTGTCCGCTCCACGGTCTGTATATGATGTTTTTATCTTTTGGACTGGTCCATTCTATAGATTGAGATGTACTAGACAAAATCGCATAGCTGCTTCCCAAAACATTTTTGCAACCCACTCGACCACTCTCCCAACTCTACGAACGATACCCAAGTCTCAAGCCTAATTTTGAGAATCTCGTCTCCTCTTTCATCCACAACAATATTTCACCCAAGAGTAGAGACGATCGTATCTCCATATGACTTATATTAATTTTACCAAGATTTATGGTGTCAAAAATTACTCATGCATGTTTTTAATCTTTTGTCTGGTTGACTAAATAAATTGTTCATTTTTCGTTTAATGTGATCTATTTGGACCAAAACAGACGAAACATGTGTGGTATGGTAGGAACCGTATAATATGTGGTCTGGTCTATGGTCTATAATCTGTGCGGTTTGGTCTGATCGGAATCATATATGTGGTCTGGTCTATGGTCTATAATCTGTGCGGTTTGGTCTGATCGGATTCATATATGTGGTCCGGTCTCTAGTCTATACTCCAACCTCTAGTTTGGACCATATGCCTTATATATTGTCCGGTCTAGACCATACCGCACTGTTTCCCGACCCTACTACCAGAGCTTACTTCTCTGTTCTTGTTTTTCTTTCTGTTGCCAACTATTTTTATGTTATATATGTTTTTATAATTTTTAAATAAATCAATATGCAAAACTGTATAATGAAAAGGCTATGATTAGACATTGATCAATTATGTTATGAACTGGTTATGATTTAGATATTTATGATAACGACCGCACAATGTACAAATACAATTGCTTAGCATGTGCATGACATGATTGGGCCGTTTCATTAAAACCCAAACTGGAACCCGGGCCGGACATAACCTTGCAAGTCGGGTAAGCCCACTGCAGTACCTGGACATGAAACACAAAAAGCTTTGAACATTTCTTCCCTCTTTAGTGACCTTGATACTAAGGCGCTCTTTTATTATTAGCATGATCGGTGGAACATTTCCCTTCTGTTATTAGGGATTCCAAACCCTGGACATTATTTTGTTACTCAAACTCCAATTCTTCTCAAGCTGCTTACGGACATGTTGAAAATCCTCAAATCCTAGCCCCAAACACGCCGAAAAATATGAAGAAAATATAAAAACATATTATCAAACGGTTAAGGTTAGTATGCAAAACCCCATAGTTTTGAAAAAAAAAAAGATGACCATAATTTACGGGCATCTAATCAGATTTTTTGTGACATACTGAATTTCAAGGCATGCTGTAAGGCACTTTTCAAATTTTCTTTGGAAATTCAACTCATTCGTTTTACATTGGATTTCAAACATATTTGTCTAGAAATATCATATTATTGTGCTCTACAAGATGGTATCGATTTTGATTTTTTTTAATAAAATTTTATTAGGTCATCTTACCACTGTCATATCACGGCAATACCGCTCACATTGGTATGATGTTGATACGATAGTGAAGTGATGTTGGAATGGCAGTGATAAGATAATATGACGTCATATATATCTTTTTTTTCCTCAAAACATAACAAAATGGAAATAATAATTAATGTGTTCTTTCTTTACTAAAATTTTAAACTTATTCAACGATTTTTTTTAACTTTATGGTAAAATGAAAGAGATACAGGGACGGGATACGGTGACAACCAAGAGTATTTTGGGTATGAAAAAAAGGAATATATTAATTACCTTTTTTGTATTAATCAGATTGAGAATTAAAAACTCATATTAAATACATTTTTTTTAAATTTAAAATCTATACATTAATATCTCTGTCTATCTCTCTCTCTTCCTTTCTCCTGCGGCCACTCCTCTTCGATGGATAGACTTATTTATTTGACCTTGTGTTTATTGAACTATCTGTGAGAACATTGAAATATGTTTTTATGAGAACATGGAACCATTCTCGTGATATTTCATAACCAAAGAGCATCAAATCATCATTGACGAATGTTGAAAGTTACATGCTCATTACTTCTACTAATTAACCTTTTGGGTTCAAACTATCATAATATCCTCTCTCCTCCAAGAATAATTGATCCCATCCATGCACGGACACATCATGATAGAAATTCCAAAGACGGACAAATAGAGGCAATGGCAATCTACCGTCACCGAAGTCAACTCGCACCCAATGATCGCCGGTGAAATGTAATGTAAGAATTCCACGAGGTCTTCTTACCCCCGATGGGGCCGTCAAAGGCAAAATGGTGTACCGACTTCCCTGAGAGAAGACAGCAATGACCCATGAATGTAACGTGGCAAAGACCCACATATCCAAACTATCCATCCAGTTGGGTCGCTCACAACCAGTTTCGTGTTTCCAAGTCGCTCGCCGAATTGCTTCTTGTACTCCATAATTTCCAACTTCTTCATAGAACGGTTTGTAAAGCTCTGGGCAAATTTCTAGTTCCGCTAAGAGATCACGTCTCATCTGCCCCCAATTATGTTGAGAACCAGTGACAGCATGTGATATAGCACGATACCCACAATGCCCATCTCCAAGAGGATTGAACCAACCAAGAAGAAGGGGTTTGACTACGCTTTCAAAGTTCCAACCATATGGGTAATCCTCCCACTTTCTTTTCTGATTGGCAATCCTAAATGGCGCGCCATCTATACAAATATATTGAGAAAAAATGAGCAAATTGCAAGGTAGGTAACAATTAATAACATAAAGGCACTAAATGAGTTGAGGTTCAGACCGGTATTAACTTCCTCATCATCTTGCCTATGGGACCCAATGCCTTGGGTAGACTTTGAGTTTGGACCTGTATCTTGCCTTTGTGACCTAGTGGGTGCGTCACCTATCCAAATGTATGAGAAAAACATATAAATTCAAGTAACCTAACCATCCATCTAAAAAATGCTAAATCAATTGAGGTTTGGACCTGTATTAACTTCCCCCTCATCTTGTCTCTGAGACCCAACGCCCTGGGTGGGTTGTGAGTTTGGACCTGTATCTTGCCTCTGTGACCCAGTCGGTGCATCACCTATCCAATTGAATTAAAAAACAGATAAATTAAGGCAACCTAACTATCCATCTAAGCGTACTAAATTCAGGCAACCTAACAGCCATCTAAACATACTAAATTCAGGCAACCTAGGCATCCATCTAAACAATGCTAAGTTAATGGGAACCTGTATTTTCTTCGTTAGTAGACTTTCTCTTCCGAGTTTGGGTGGGTTTTCTTGACTTGCGTTCCTTGGTCACATGCTCGAAGTAAGAAGGGTTTCTTGTGGTAGATGTCTTCCTCGGACGACCGGGCTTGGGATGTGTACCATGAGGTTCATCGATGCCATCATCCTCGGGATAAAGGTGACTTCGTAGCAAGCTAGTGGCTCCTAGAATTGTTGCATCATCTCTACGGAGAACCTCCTCTGCCATCCTCTGGAAAGTCTCGCGATTATAACGGTTGTGGTCTTCCCAAGCTGCACGGTTGGGAGGTTCTCTATAATTCAACGTGAACCAAAAATCAAACACCTCATAAGGGTAGAAGTCTCGATCTTCTTGACGTGCTCTCAACATCATACATCTACATAGGAGACCATGAGTTGTTTGAGACGTACATGGACAAGGTTTTCCTTCCTTTGCTATTTCCCTAAGCATAAACCTCAGTGCAAATAGACTTATGGTTTTTGTTAACTCCCTAAAAGGAATTCCTTGAGCTCGTATCATCTCTTTTTGTCGAGAGTCCTCTAGAAGCTTTCTGATTTCACCATGTTGAGCTTCAATATGCCTGTGGTTAGTCTTATACACCTGTAAGAAAAATGGAGATAAAAAGAACAAGAACGTTAGAGAACCATCAACAAAGACCAACAATGAGAACATTAGATAACTAACCGTGTCTATTGCCCCAGTAGATGACTGAAGCCACTTTTTGAAGGATGAGTGAGCAGATTCAACCCTGTTAGAGCTTGTATTGCCTAAATGTGCCACTTGGTTGGTATAACATTTAGCCCACATTTTTGCATTTGGTAACCACTCAGCTTTGATATAACCCCAAAGTCTTCCATATTCACAACCCCAAGAACGTCTGAAGTTGTCTAAGGCTATATTCATTGCTTCTTCTGTGCGTGATTGTACCACAGGTTTCCAAGAATGCATGACCTGCTCCACAATTAGTTGGGCTCCGGGTATCTCAAGACCTTTCTTCTTCCGCACTTCAACCAAACATCTAGCCCGAATATTCTTGTCTATGTGCCAAAGACATAGTAAATGCCTAGATGATGGAAACATGACACTAACAATCTCGACCAATCCTCCTGCCTTGTCACTGACTATCGCATGTGGAGTGATAGATCCAAGAATGAATTGCAAGTGCCTCAAAATCCACTCGTAGGACTCCTTTGTCTCATTGTATACTAAAGCAGATGCAATGACGAAGTTCAGGCCCACCGGTGTCATGCCAACAATCTCAACCCACGGATACTCATACTTATTGGTCTTGTATGTTGCATCTATCACAATGACATGGTGCCAAGCTCGTAACATTTCAATCAAAACAGGATGCGCTAGAAACAAATGGGTAAGCAAGTTACCTTCCTCCATATAATGTACATAATAGTTCTTCTTTCGAGCATCGTGAAAGGTGAACTGCAAGGCTGTCATCTCACTAAGACCATCTTTCCTTATCTTTGCCAAAGAATTGTAAATTTGCTTTTTGGTGTGGTGACCTTCTTCTCCTTTTCTCTCGTTCACTGTCTCTAAAATATTTCTTGCTGGTACACGAGATGACTTAAGCTCTCGAATTAATTCCTTATCTTCCGGGGTGAGAACATTCCCTTTCCGTGCCCCCTCTCGAAAAAGCTCCAACGGATGATTGTGAAAACCACTATATTGACTCGGATTGTTCATGTTGGTCACTCCCATAATCAACCAACTTACTTCATTTTTTGGCCGCTCAATCTTGATCTGGAACTGACATCCGGTCTTATTTGAAGAAGTAAATTCTCGCTTTTTAACTGTCGGATCAGAAGGGTTGGACTTTCTCTTCTTACCATGAGTGCAAGTCAAATAAAATCGCCGACTATTTTCGTTTGGATTTTTTTTGTTCGACGTCCGCACTAAATAGAACCCTAAACCCTTGGCTATTTCACATGCTGCTTTATAGGCTTCTATCTCTGAATCGTATTTCACCCCTTTCACGAATGTCGGTGTATAATCAAAAGGACCCGAATGGGAACTTCTATCAATTTCCTAAAATATGTATAAAAAATAAGATTCATTCAACCTAACATAACATTTATTCAACCTAAAAATCCCTATGCAATTTATATTAACATAAAAGATTAGTAAATAATTTGTAACAAATAAAGTCCATTCACCTTAACATGTAACAGTAACATTCATACTAGAAACTACTCTATGTTCAATTAAATTGCTTAAATAGATTGCAACAAATCAAGTTCATTTCATAACTAAAATTCGTACTGAAATAAGTTAGTTCATAACATAAATACCTCATCCGAGTCGCTATCACTATTCATGGCAAGTATAGGACGGCAGAGCGGAACTGGATCAACGAATATCCTGAAATTAAATTAATAATAAATAATCAATTTAAATTGTAACACTTAAAATAAATTAATCATTTAAACTTGTAACATTTAACTACTTAAGTCTAATACGTATTGTTACATGTTTCTTCATAACTATTTTAAATTTATAAATGTTTTATTACATTAAATATTTTTTCAATAATAATGTATAATGTGCACATAATCATAATTAAACAAAATCCTATGGGCTCAAACGCAGGTAAGAAAATGAATTCAAATTCTGAAATTATAAATTCATTACTAATGGATGTATGGGCTCAGCCCATCCACTGGTTATATGGGCTCAAACCCAGGCAAAAAAAGAGTGCATATGGTAGTTAAACGCAGACAAAGTTTCGTTCGGCCACGGAGGGAAAAAGAAGTTTGACCGACGTTGGACCATAGAACAAACGAAAAAAATGGCTATGTCTTACCAATGGCCGGCGATCTGGGACGTCTAGGGCGGGAGGAAGAAGGTGCAGGAGTGGCGCCGTCGTCGAGCTGCTTCTCCGGCAACAAGTGCGGTGAGGCGAACGGGAATGGGCCTTCTCCGGATCTCCGTCTTCTCCGACAACGCAGGGGCAGAGGTGATGGCAGCTGGCCGGGAAGGCTATGGCGGGAGGAACAGAGACAGAGGTCGGCGGTGAGAAACAGAAGGCCTGTGCAAGGGGAGAAACAGAGACCGGCAAGGAGAGACAGAGGTCGACGATGGCCAGCGAGCTGGGACGACTACGATGGGAGGAAGAATGAGTGCAGGAGTGGCGTCGACGTCGAGCTTCTTCTCCGGCAACAAGTGCGGTGCGGCGAACGGGAATGCACCTTCTCCGGATCTCCGTCTTCTCCAACAATGCAAACCCACCAGTGACAGTGAGGCAGAGGTCGACGAGGTTGGAGCTTGGGGAGCAGGTGAGAGAGAAGAGTGAAGGGCAGTTTGTCAGCTTGGGCAGTTTGTCGATATGCAGGGGCAATGTAGGACAAGTCAATATGCAGGGGACAGGGGTGATGTAGGAGAGAGGAAGTTGGACTTGTGACTTGGTCTCTTGGAGAGTGCAGTGAGATGGACGAGAGATATGTTTGGACTCTAGTACATAATTTGAAATTGATAATTGGACAAATAGGTAAATTAATATAATTTAGGACGTTAAAAAGTAATTTTAAGGACGTCATTTAGCAATTCCCTTAAAGAAAGATAGCTATGCATTCCTATCTCTGCCGGAAGCATCTCAATTTGCCAAATGTCGCAAAATATGATCTTCGGCAACGTTGCACCTCACCTAATAGTTCGATTTAACCGAAGTCATTTAAAAATCTGATCAATTAAGATTAACCGCATATACTAAATTAATTGAAAAAAAATGAAAACGATGAAACAAGGAATCGGTGTAATGGGTGGCGGGCCCCACTCCACCTAGCTCGGGGCTAAGATCAGGTGACTAAGGGGGGTCCCTTAGTCATGTGACTAAGTGAATCTCAGCCCTTCCACCTCATTAAAATCCAATGGTCCTGATTAATCCAATTTAATGAGGGGCAATGTAGTAATTTAATTATTTAATTTTTATTTACCAATTAAAATAAATAAAAATCCAACCATCTGTTCCCTCCTTCGGCAGCCTGCATATTTTTTCCACAGAATTGCGAACCTTCCCGCCGGCCGATCCTTCTCTCTGGTGGCGTGGAAAGAATTCGCCGAATTCGCCGGCGTGATCATTTTCCCCAAGGATGGTCGCAAATTTCCGGGCAGGGTCCGCCCCGTCCCTTGCGCCTCCGTCCAATTTTTTCCGGCCAGGGGAATTCTGCGGCCATTACCCAGAGGCTCATGCGGCCATTATTCTCATGAGAGAGAGAGAGAGAGAGATTTTGTACTGTTAGTATGCTTTGTATTGTTTGTCGGTTTATTTTGTAATGTTTGTACGCTTTGTTATTTTGTAATGTTTGTCGGGTTTTTTTGTAATGTTTGTACGCTTTGTTATTTTGTAATGTTTGTCGATTTTTTTTGTAATGTTTGTAAACTTTGTTATTTTTGTGTACCGTGTTTATCATTTTTGTCAACCATGTTTGTAATGTTTTTTATGTATAAAAAACACCCGGGTTGACTTTGGGAAGGAGCCCCTCTATATAGGGATGGAGCCTCCAAAGTCAACCCGGGTGTTTTTTCTTTTTGTATGGTTTGTATTGTTTGTCGGTCTAGTTTGTATTGTTTGTACAGTTCATACGTTTGTAATGTTTGTATGTTTTGTCGCTCTAGTTTGTACTGTTCGTATGTTTGTATGGTTTGTACTGATTGTAAATCCAGTTTGTATACTTTATAATTTTCCATAATACCCAAACTACCCCTGTCATTAATTAAATAGCCCTTCCCACTTTTTAACTATTAGATTAAAGTGTCCAGATCTAATGGCTAGGAGGGGCTTAGTCAAGTGACTAAGGACCTCCCCTTAGTCATGGGATCCGCGCTCCCTAGGTCGCCTCCTTCTTCTTTGCTGCGTGTCATCCACCCTGTCACTTTGTCCGTACTCTGTCTCCGGCTTGACCTGCTACAGGTTCAACCCGTACCTCGCACGTGCGCTCCCCTTCTCTCCCATCTCCGCCCACACGTGCCGCCAGCAGCTCTCCTATTCTCCTTTTCTTCCTTTCTCCTTCTCTTTCTCTCTCTCACTCGCATTTTTTTTTTGTGGTGCAACAACAATTGCCTCATCACCCTCCTCTCTTCTCTACAACCACAACCGCAGCAGCCAACTCGTTTCAAAAAGAAGCCACGATTCAGAGCTAATTATAAAACAAGCAGCTGCCTGATTCTTTCTTCTGGAATCTCAGAAAGAAAGAGAGAGAGAGAGAGAGGGATTAGAGCGGCGTAGAGGGAGATCGTCAATTTGTTTCTCTTTATCTTTTCTTTTTAGCTCTCGATCTCGTGAGCTGGTATTTGGTGATTTCGGTTCTCGATCTTTGCGGATTAGCGATGAGGATCAGGAAGAGGAAGGTGCCGCTGCCGTTCCATTTAGTCTCCCCAGTTCCCATCCCTCCTTCATTCTTCTCCACAGATCCCGACCCCACCGCCACTACTGCTACTCCGCCGCCGCCGCTGGTGCAACTCCGGCAAGACCCCTCGGGAACAGGAGCACCGATTCCCGCCTCCGATGATAACAAAGCTGGAGCTGCCGGCTTCGGTTCCAACCCGACTGATCGACTGAATCGGGCGGAAAGGAACGGCCACGTCGGCTCTGACGGCATTGGGTGGGCGCACCCGATTTACCCGGTGAGTTCCCCTCCCCTCGCCCTTGTTTTTATAATTCATCTAAAATTTAATTTACTGACAGTAAGTTTTTAGTTACCCTTGCTCCTCGTGGCTGACTGTGATTCCGATCGGACTGCACTGGTGCGCTTCGTAAAAGTTAAAATTGCGGGCTGCCTAGCTGGGATCGCAAGAGCTGCTTTCTTTTGTTTATTTTGTTTTTCCAATAAAAACAGATAATTTATGTTTATGCACCAGCAAGCCGTAAAGAGAGCCGGATTTCACCCCGGAAAGGAAGTGGAAATGATTGGGTTGGGTTGGGTGGATCCGATCCGATCCAATCCATCCATCCACCTAGATCCCACTGTCTCATTAATTATTTTTTGCTTTTTCTTTTTTGTTTCCGTAGATTTCGTGGGAGGATGGAAAAGATGAATTTGGGATCAAGAGGAGCATACGAGCCAACAATGTTGCTGCTGCGAGGTAAGAATTCCGATTGGAAAAGAAAAAGAAAAAAAAAAATCCATTAATGAGTCTATATATGCATGTATTATTACTTCTCCTGTTCTCCAGTAAGCACACTCTCTAGTGACCCAGAAGTGGTTTTTGTTTTTACTGTGCCCATGTCTAATTATCTGGGTAAATATATATGATCTGAAGTATACATAGCAAGGGAAGTAAGTGCAGTAGTAGTACTGATCCGGAGATTTTGGGACAACAACAACGACAATCAGCTGCTCCCGCTTCTTCTTCCGCTTCTACTTCCCATCTACCACCTGGTAATAAGATCTACATAGCTAGCTAGCTAGCTGTATACACATGCACAACATTTGGTGATCAGTGGATCTATGTTGCGGTTGCACCAATATAATGTCATAGATTTTGTTGTGTTTGTGTGACATAAATATTTTGTTGGGCGCGCAGTACTTGGCGCAATGTCGACGTGGTGCAAAGAGTATCCTCATCTTAAGGACACGAAGAATGATAATAGTCACAATAACAAGTCGCCATTGTTAATCCCATCTCGGAAGAGAAGCAGCTGGTCATCTTCTCCCTCCTCCTCGTCTTCATCCTCATCCTACTTTGACATCAATGGAGATCCAGCGACGATCAGGAGCCCATCGAATGGTCAGCAAGAAGTTCGACCACAAGCGTATCAAACTCCTCGTGATACCAAAGTCGTGCATGCTGATCATATAAGCGGAATAGGTGGTGGTGCAAACAGTAATAATGACAAGAAGAAGAGAACACCAGCAGGAGGAGGAGGAGGAAGAGGGGGCGGCGGTGGCGTGGTGATGGAAGGGTCTCGGTGCAGCCGAGTGAACGGGAGGGGATGGAGGTGCTCGCAGCCAACTCTGGTGGGCTACTCTCTCTGCGAGCATCACTTGGGGAAAGGCCGTCTGAGAAGCATTACTACTGCCAGCAACCTCCGACCACCACCCCGTCAATTGGGCACCATCGGCACAACTTCAACTACTATGACTGCTGCAAATCCTTCTTTGGTTGCACCAAAGACGAAGCCCAATCCATCTTTGACGATGATCACCTCACCTGTCGTCCATCCATTTTATGATGGAACAGATACAAGGACAAAGGGCGTTGGAGTTGTGCTGCCAAGTAGTAGCTATGGGCTTTACGACGAGGTGGAAGAAGAAGAAGAGAAGAGGAAGCCGCAGCCGCAGTTTGTGTTTCCTAGTAATAAGAAGAAGTCGAAGCTTGGGACGGTGAAAGCTCGGTCCATTAGCAGCTTGCTGGACCAACCCGATAACAGTAATGCTGCTGTGGCGGCACTGCTCGCTGATAATCATCATCATCACAATATTAAATATTGACCATCACCAGCAGCAGCGATCGTTCCACCTCATATCTGCCACTGTTATTACAATATAATTAATATGTCCAGCTTATATATTCAGTAGTAGTACTATCTATCTAGTGAAGATGATCTCAGGTGCAATTGTGTGATAACAAGAATCAGGGCCGGCCAAGAGGGTGTGCCGGTCCGCCCTCCGGCACAGGGCTTTCGAATATTAGGGGCTTCTACTTAGATTCGTTAGTTACCGATCGAATATGATAGGTTGTTTTTTTTAGTGTATGATTGATAGATTATGAATACGATGACGAATTTAATAGATAATTTTAGCTATAATAACAATTGAAAAGGATCTCACGGAGAATACGAAAATAGAGAGATACTAGATAATTTTAATTTAAACAATAAAGAAAGATATTACATTTTGAATAATAGTATTATAATTATTTTAGTTTTATTATAGTTAAAAGTCAATTTGGATCATTTCTCAATTTTGGAATAGGGCCTACACGATCCATTAGATAGACTCGCACCCACCTCTCGATCAATTTATATTATTTTCATTTCTCCATTCAATTTTTGCTCTATATCCATTTTCTGTTCCCTCTAAATTTACTTTTCTCCCTCCCTGCTAGGAGTGAGAATTTGGTCTTGGTTTCTTGGTCAAACAAGAAGCGAGATTGTTTATTCATTTTGAAATCATTTTCTGAACTTACGTACTTTATAATTATTTAATAAATTTATTGAGAAAAAAATTAGGGGCCACTTGTCAAGAATATACTATATATAGCTAGGTTTGTGGTTTGAGTTTCATGTGGTTGTTTAATGTAAGTGGCATGCATTAAATGGATGTTAAGCAAGCTTTCAACAGTTGCTATATATTCTTTGTTGATATTTCACATATTTTTAGTGAGATATTTTTATCTAGATTATAAATAAATTTGTTTGTTGCTATAACTTTTAATGGACACACTGATTTCCTAAACTATACAAAATAATAACTGACAATTCATATTGTTCAGAACTCATCAAAATACATCTAATGGCCAGATCATCTAGAGTATAATATATATGTGGATTATACCAGTCTTACCTGGTGATTAAACTAAGAGTTTAGTTGGAGAATAAGGATAAAGCTAGATATATGATTAATTGATAAGGGAGATGGAAGGGCTGGAGATTATTATAGATGGACGGACACTGTGCATCTTTTGACCATTCAAGAATCCAGCTGGAGGAGTAGAGTAGAGACAGATACAGCACTCCCCAATTGGCTGCCACCTAAAGTGTTGGTTGTAAATGTACACCCTTATTATTCCCGGCCGGTCCCCTTTTCAATCCTCCATCTATAAATCTATAATATAATATTCCCCATACCATATGGAAGTTTTTGGGGATTAATTAATTAGCTAAAGCGGGTGCTATATGAAGAAAGACAATATTATTAATTAGTTAAACAAAACAGTAATGCTTAACCCAAAAAAGTCAAGATTAGCATGCTGTCTCTGTACTTGAGGTTGACCCAAAAAAAAAAAAAGAAAAAAAAGAAAAAGAAAGAAAGAAACAGGGGAAAGACGGCTGAGACAACATTCAGTTAGGAGTTAATAGTTAAGAAGCGCTTAATTAGTAAGTATAATTAGGAGTCTAGCTTAGCTACCTGCAGTTTAAAGTGCAACTCAGCAAGTACTGCCACGTTATTGTAAATCAGAATATATATAGGATGTACATTGGTGCTACTTACGCAGCTTTGCGGTGAGCACATATCAGCGAACTATTCTTTTGCTTACATTGGTACTACTAGCTAGCTTGCTAGAATACAAGGAAAGGGATAAAAAGAAAGGGTAAGATTGACAGAGTGGCCATACAACTTAATTGGTCCACCAATGCAATATTCGAGCAGTGAAGGAAGCTACAGAAAACTGTTGGGTTGATGTTAGTCTTCCTTCCTAATTATTCATCCAAATTATTCTGGTCTACACATAACATAATCATAAGCTTGGCCCTCATATTCTACATATTTGTATCGTTGATTGGCATCGATCCCTCCATGTTAATGAATTTGCTCTTCTGATTAGAGAACCTCCATATTGCTCGGAGCTAGGGAATCCCGTACACCCTTAACCCTAGGTAGCGGCGGCGGTTGTAGGCCATGGCCGGCCTGGCGCCGGAAGCCATCACCCCGACGGCTTCGTCGCTGGATGCAGCATATGGACAGCGTCGTCCCCCCTCGGCGACGTCGTCCCCGAACAACAAGAGGGAAAAAGAATCACAGCAGGCAGCAGCCCAATAAGAAGGTGAAAGCCATGTGTGCTAACCCCTTTTCGAGACGCAACAAATAGAGGAGGAGCCGGTTTTTGACGAGGAGAGCCATGAGCAGAACAAAGATGGTGTCCCTGAGAATAAGGCCCTGTCGTCGGCATGGGGTGCAGGGGCGCGCAAGCTTTTTTCGATTGTTCTTACCGAGGATGAATGGTATGTGGCTGAGTCAGATTCTGAGGATGTGGCGAAAGCTATGCGTGAGGACGATCTGGACGATGACCCGTGGTGTCCCACGATCCCTTTGAGGGCCTTGGAAAAACAGCGTTATCGCAGAACCTGGAGGTCAGCGCTCATCATTAAAGTGCTCGGCAGTACGTTCCCTTTTTCCATCATCTCAAAAAGACTAGAAACGCTCTGGGCCAAAATGGGAGTCATCCAAATATCTAGTATATCGTATGGGTTTTATGTTGTTCGCTTCAGGAACCAGATGGATTATGAATAGGCAGCCATGGGAGTGCCGTGGATGATTGGCAACCATTACATTACTGTGAGGCCGTGGCGAAAAGGTTTTAACGCCAAATTCGTGGAGGTGGCGACAACCCTTGTCTGGGCTCGCCTGCTGGAGCTGCCAGTGGAGTTCCTAAACCGGGAAGTCGTTGAGAGGATTGCTTCACGCATAGGTCGTCCGGTTCGGGTGGATCGTGCTACCACCAATGGGGCCCGTACGAAGTATGGTCGTGTTAGTGTTGAGGTGGGTCTCACTAAACCTCTACTGAGGCAGTACAAGATTGAGGTGAAGACTTACTACGTGGAGTACGAAGGGCTGCATAATATTTGTACTGAGTGTGTTATTTATGGGCATTCGAAGACAACATGTCTGTCACTGTGGAAAATCCAACCGGAGAGCCCGGTGGAGTCGCAACCAAGTCCCAAGGTTACATCTGCCCCTCCCGCTGCTTATGGAGAGTGGATGATGGTCAAACCGAAATCGAAAACCACCGGGAGAATCAACTCCATGCTCAATGGGAGTGGGTCCATGCTGCCAACAAAGATTGCGTCCTCACCTGGTGGTTCGCGTTTCTCTGCCCTAGTGGAGGAGGACACATTACAAATGGAGATAGTTAATGGCGGGAGCGGGGAGTCTTCCCCAATCATCCCCGTGGACAAGCAGGTGGGGGAGACAGCCGCAGGGAGCGGTTCTCACAGTCGCCCTTATGCTACCAGCCCCCTGTGATGACCGAGGTCGCGAAGCCAAAGAGCACAACACCCGTGCCTATGCAAGTTATGGCAAAGCCTGACAACAAGGTGGCGAGCGGCAATATCCAGGAGCTGGTGAGTGTCCCTATCCAACAGGCGCCTCTTGGTATTGGTCGGAAAATGGAGGCAAGCCTGAAGTGGTCAAGAATGGTAGAAATGGTTCGTCCGCGATGTCGAGTGCTCAAAAGGGTTCGAACCAGCCCAAGGGCCAAAAGCGACCAAGCGTGGGGAGAACAATGTCGAGAGTGGCCAGACCTCGTCGCAAGGACAAACGGGGTGCTGGATAACCTGAGCACATCCTTGTAGGCTCATGCGCAGGCAAAGCTGGGAGGGCAGCCCCCTCCGGCTACTTCTTGTCTTTAATTGGGCAGTAGCCCGTACCCCAGGGGAGTCTTTATCCTCTTGTACATACGTGTGTTTCTCTTTTCTTATAGTTGTTATGTTAAACATTTTTGCATGGAACTGCCAAGGAGCAGGGAGTGATGAGTTCTTGGTTTATCTGAGGAACTTTTGTGCCTCTACGAGGCAGGATTTCGTGGTTATTGTGGAACCACCCGTTAGCGGGGATTTGGCTCGGAATGTTATTCGAAGGACGAGTTTTGATGGTAACTTAAGCATGGATGCTGTTGGTTTTTCAGGAGGCATTTGGGTATTATGGCAGTGGCAAAACCTCTTGGTCACCTCCATCACGAAGTGGGAACAGATGATCCATGTGCAATGCATGAAGCCGGGGCCGCGTGATAATGTTGTGGTTTCAGTGATTTACGGCAGTCCCAACACTGCCCTTCGTCAACAGCTTTGGGATGAGATAAGGCGGCTCTCCGTACAAACTACCGCTCCATGGGTTCTTATTGGAGATTTCAATTTAATACTGGGACCCACGGAGCGTTGTGGGGGGGGGGGGGGGGAGGAGTCCCATATCAGGAGGCTCATTCTCGCCCGTTTAAGAATTGTCTAGATGATAGCGGTCTCCTTGATGTCAACTTCACTAGTCTGAGATTTACATGGCGGAGGGGTACCCTCCAGCAGAGGCTAGACAAAGCCATCTGTAACAAGCTCTGGATGACCCGATTCCCTCAATCGATCATGCGTCATTTGGAGCGGATTGGGTCGGACCACAGACCCATTCTTCTTCTGAGGGGCCAGTCGCCTAAAGGAAGCTCGGGGCCGAAACCATTTCGTTTCATGGCTGCATGGATGGTGCATAATGATTTTGGACGTGTCCTTTCAACTAGTTGGGAACGGGGTCATACGTTCCCTGTTTCTTCTGAGGTGCTCACAGGCGAACTCACCAATTGGAATAAGGTGACGTTTGGACATATCCTTCATCGCAAGAGGAAGCTAGCTCGTCGGTTGAGGGTACTGGAAGCGGCAAATGAGAGAGTAGGCTCGGTGGCCTCCCGGGAAGAGGAAAGTGCAGTGCGAAAGGAGATGGAGACTACTCTCTGTCAAGAGCATATAATGTTCTTTCAGAAGTCAAGGGCTCAATGGGTGGTTCACGGTGATAAAAATTCCCGGTTCAATCATCTCTCAACGCTGAAGAGGAGAAGTTTTAACAGGATCCGAGGGCGGAGGAACAACCAAGGACTGTGGGTATTCGAGGAAGTTGAGCTGTGTAAAATGGCGAGGGACTTCTATGTGGTGCTGTACCAGGAAGAGGAGGGACCACGTCCAAGCTTGCCGGGTACTTTCCCGAAGCTGCGGCAGGGTAGTAGGGATGGCCTACAGAGATCTATTTCTCGGGAGGAGACGTGGGTGGCGGTCAAGAGCATGGGAGGGTTCAATGCTCGCGAAAAGATGGCTATCCTCCTTTGTTTTACCAGAAATGCTGGAGTGTGGTAGGCGATTCCTTTTCCTCTTTTATTATGGCCATGTTCTCTGATCCTTGTTTGTTTGCGGGGGTCAACGAGACGCTATTGGAACTCATTCCTAAAAAAGATAGCCCTGAAACCATCTAGCAGTTGCGCCCCATCGACTTATGCAACGTAATCTACAAGACCCTCACAAAGTGCCTCATCAATCGCATCAAGCCGCTAATGAGAGATCTGGTGCACCCAACCCAGACGAGCTTTGTACCGGGTAGACAGATCTCTAGTAACATTGTTATCCTGCAGGAGGTTGTCCATTCCATGAACCAGAAGAAGGGTCGAAAAGGAGCCATGGTGCTCAAGATCGATCTAGAAAAAGCTTATGATCGTGTTAGTTGGAGCTTTGTCCACGAAACGCTTACCCTCGTGGGATTCCCGGTGAAGCTCATCGAGGTTATTATTGGTTGTATTTCGTCCCCAACAATGCATGTTCTTTGGAACGGAGTCTGTACAGAGTCGTTCACACCTACCCGGGGTCTTCGACAGGGCTGTCCTCTATCTCCCTACCTCTTTACGCTTTGTATGGAGAGGCTAAGTCACACCATTTGTGAGGCGGTCGATACCGGTCGCTGGAAACCAGTCGTGATCCCGCCAGGTGCCTCTCCTCTCTCCCACCTTTTTTTGCTGACGACCTTATTCTATTTGCAGAGGCGACGGAGAAGCAGAGAGAGGTAATCATGGATTGCCTCAACCATTTTTGCCAAGCTTCGGGCCAACAGGTTAGTAAGGAGAAGTCGATGATGTTTTTTTCCAAGAACATGGCTCGCCCCTTGTGGTTAGAGATCTCACACAGAGCAGGGATCCCCATGAATCAGGACCTGGATCGCTACTTAGGGGTCCCTGTCCTACACATCAGGTCAACAAAGAGACTTACCGCTACATTCTCTCTCGCATGGATAATAAATTGGCAGGCTGGAAAGCAAGAAACTTGTCTTTTGCAGGGCGAGTGACCTTGGCAATGTGGGTTCTGAATACTATGCCGACATACGCCATGCAGACAACCCTCCTGACCATGTCCATTTGCGACGAGATTGACAGTAAAATTAGGAGTTTCATCTGGGGATCCTCGGCTAAGACCAGGAAAATGAACTTGGTTAATTGGGAAGCTATCTGCCGACCGAAGAAGGAGGGTGGGTTGGGTTTTAGGAAGGCTCACGAACCTAACCTAGCTTTTTTAGCTAAACTTGCTTGGCTTTTCATGAAAAACCCAGATGAGCTATGGGTGTAGGTGTTACGGGCGATGTACTTTAAGGTGGTGGAGGGCCAGATGGTGGCTAAATCTGCATCTCGAGCCTCAACGCTTTGGAGAGGGATACGAAAGGCATGGCCGGTGATGATGAGTGGCACAACTATGAGTATCAAGGACGGCCAAACAACGTTGTTTTGGACTGATATGTGGATTGACAGTGGAGAACGGCTGCTTGACCATGTGCGAGAAGAGGCGATGCCGGTCAACCCCTCCGATGCGGTTCCGCAGTTCACTACGCTAGCAGGTGAGTGGGATATTAACCTCCTGCGGTCCCTTCTTCCTGAGGAGTATGTTTTGTAGGTTCAGGGGATCCAACCCCCCATGGCAGATTCAGGGAGCGATGTTGCTACATGGGAGCCAGAGGAGGATGGAAGATTTCGAGTCCGCTCCGCGTACGAGATTGTCTGCAACCATGAGCAACTGGATCGTGAGTTTGACTGGCGGATCATCTGGAAGTGGAGCGGACTGTCTCGAGTGCAACATTTCATGTGGCTGGCGGCTCGGGAGAGGATTCTCACCAACGTGGAACGAGGAAGAAGGCACCTGACAACCCAAACCGCTTGCACCCTTTGCCGTGACACACATGAGACAGTCGTGCATGTGTTGCGGGACTGTCAGTTTGCCCGGTTAACTTGGATGCGGCTGCTCCAACCTTCTGATTACCTGACCTTTTTCAGTTTGCCTTTGTAGGAATGGATTGCGAAATACCTAAAGGAAGAGCACACTGGCCTTTCTGTTGGCCTTACCTGCTGGTCTCTTTGGCGGACCAGGAATGACCGCGTTTTTGCGAACAGGGCCACTACAGCTGAAGCTTTCCTACAGCGCCTCCTGGCTTGGATAACTGTCATGAGGACGGCTATGGACAAGGACTGAATCATTCATCACCCGAGTCCGCCCGCTAGAACGGAGGAGCTGATCTCTTGGAAGCCCCCTCCTCCTAAGTGGGTTACTCTCAACTCTGATGGCTTCGTTCACCATGACACAGGCTCTGCTGCTACGGGAGGCCTGTTGCGAGATCATTTAGGGTGATGTGTGATAGCGTACACGATTAGCCTGCGGATTTGTTCGACCACTAGAGCTGAGTTGAGAGGCGTTGTGGAAGGACTTCAACTGGCTTGGGATCTGGGATATCGTCGCGTGCGGGTGGAACTGGACTCTCGTTGTGCCATCCATCTTATCAGCAGCAACGCGAACCTGGACCACCATCATGTGTCGATCATTGACCGCCTCCAAGCCTTAGCTAGGCGTGATTGGGAGGTTATTTTTTCTCATGTTTACAGGGAAGGTAATAAGTGTGCTGATTTTCTTGCGAACCATGGTCACTCTATGCATTTAGGTTTTCATTTCATTCCTGCTAGCGATTCCATGTTGATGTATTAGACTTCGTATGATTCTCAAGGGCTATCTGAGCCCCGTCTGGTTATGAATGAAGGTTAGGATGTACTGCATCCATTTATAATAATAAAAAAATTCATTTGATCTTCTTCTTCTTTCCCCCCCGACTAGTTATTGTATCTCTTCATTATCCGTCGTAATTATAAAAATGATGTAGAATAAAAGATTAATATTGCGCGACGGTATGTTTGACGTCTAAATTACATGAAATTAAATCGATAGCTAGCAAAGTTGATGATCACCAAAAGAGTACGTACATGGTGTTCAAACGGAGTGGTTATCGTGGTAACCGTTTCAACCGGTAGTATTTGGTTAATTTGGATTTATGGTTTGATTTGGTTAATTATTTTAGCTTGTTTGGTTTAGGTGGTTTGGTTTTAGACACTACTAACCGATCAAACCAAATTAATCAATTAAGTAATTAGCTATATATCTTGTATATTATATAGACATTCTTAATACTTTGCATAACCACTCAAGAGTAAAATGTAAGTAATTAACTATAATTTTGGGTTGATTGTTATGTATTATTCATTATATAAATTGCGAATTGATGCACAAACCGGAAATTTTTCTCACTTAATGATAATGTGATGGTATATTGGTTATTTTGGGTAAACAATTAACCAAACTGATTTGTTTACACCAAAATAATTTTCATTAATTATTACTTGTATGAACAGCTTGGCCAATTAGGGTAGTTGTTGGTCCATGTGTACATAGATGGTCCAATTTATGAAGTCTAGTCGTAGGGTTGTTGGATGGTAGCTGAGGCATGGATACCATCCACATCCAATAATGGATGGTAGTGTCCAATAACATGGATATTATCCAAATCCAAGAATGGATGGTAGCGTCCAAATACTTGGATACCATCCAAATACAATAATGGATGGTAGCGTCCAAATACATGGATACCATCCAAAATCCATAATGGTTGGTAGCGTCCAACATCATGGATACCATCCAAAATCCATAATGGATGGTAGTGTCCAAATACATGGATACCATCCAAAATCCATAATGGATGGTAGTGTCCAAATACATGGATACCATCCAAAATCCATAATGAATGGTAGTGTCCAAATATATGGATACCATCCAAATCCAATAATGGATGGTAGCGTCCAAATACATGGATACCATCCAAAATCCATAATGGTTGGTAGCGTCCAACATCATGGATACCATCCAAAATCCATTATCCAAATACATGGATATATACCATCCAAAATCCATAATGGATGGTAGTGTCCAATATCATGGATACCATCCAAAATCCATAATGGATGGTAGTGTCCAACGTAATGGATACCGTCCAAACCCTAATGGATGATGCTAGGGTATGGTGACCATTTAATATGCGTACCATCCATGGATTGTTGTCTTAGTCAACATGGATACTGTCCAATTTGTTTTATGTACGGTGACCGTCCAATGGTCAAGTGACATGATGACGTGTCGAGGTGGATACCAGAAGCAACACCTGACTTGCAAAGAATGATCGGAGGAGTTACGGGATGCTACGTGGAGCTGATTTTCGGGAGGAGAGAGAGAAGGCTGTCAGAGGACGAGGCGCAACAATACTCACAGCAAGACTCTGGAGGGGAGACAGACAAATCAATCCACAACAAGTCTCGTAAAAATTTATCTTTTCTCTTTAGAACAGTAACCGTAGCAGTAGCACCAGGGACCCTCCAACGAGACTTCTCTATTAGTTGTAGTCAGTAGTTGCGGAGCTCTCAAGGAATCTCCATAGGAGTAGAGGTAAAAGTAGCCAGTTCCTTTGATGTATGCATCGAACACCCTTGTTCGAACAGTGTTGAAGAGGTGCGAATCGAGTAACATTGTTTTCTGTGTTCTTGAAGTCATGGTGCATTGATCACGCGAAATTCCACCTGAAACACGATTAAACTTTAATTTGATTAATTTGATTTTCGAATTAATTTGGACGGTTTGACTATGATATTATCTTTTATGACTAACAGAATTTAGAGTTATTTGGTTTGATAATTACTATAATAACCATTTGCCTATATCTTTTACTAACGGAGTGCGTGACGGCTAATTAAGAAAGCAAGCAACAAAAGAGGTTGGTTTTGTACCCAGCTATATTTGATCATGATCAGGATTGCATGCTTTAATTGGTTTCTCATGCATGGGCCCTACCTTTGCTGCCTGCCTGCATCTTCCATCTGGCCACCTACGTATTGATGGCTCTCCTTCAACTGTGAACCACCGTTACAACATGTCCGTTCAATTAATATTATTCCATTTATAATACGAAAAATACAACATAGCCAACGTTTTTTTATGAGGTCATTGATATTCGTTATATTCTAATTATTTTCATCGAAAAAGAAAACATCATATAACTTCTCTCGACTCTTATTTACATTGAGATGTGTTTGTTTATTTGTATGATGTTCTCTTATGTTTTATCTCTTTCTATGTACGTACTTCTTTCATGGCTTCGGGTTTCATTGAAAATGTGGAAAAATCAACAAATATAATTGTGGGGAGATGGATAAGAAGGATGCATGGGATGGGGACAACCTTAGCCGGCAGCCGGACCCAATATTGCCACAACTCAATAACTTAGGTACGTCTCATTAATTTACATTCTATTCTCTCTTTTATTTATTTATTTATTTATTATTATTATTATTATTATTATTATTATTATTATTATTATTATTATTATTATACACGATATGCCCTCCAGCTAGTTGCTAGCCTACCTGGCTGCCTGCATACCATACATATTTACATATATCCACTGTAAGTACAACACCTTCCAATCAATATATGATATATATGACAGCTAACTGTAATTATAACTATCAAAGACGTTCCTTTCCTACTCAATTAATAGCTAGCACTACTGTACGCGATCATCAACTAATGTTGCTTTCAGAGTTTTAGTCTGAGTCCTCACTTACCGATCGATCGAGCCTCAACTATATAGATCGAAAAAAGGGTGGCCTGCAGGCTGCCTTCAAGCTCCAGATTAGTTGATCTGGTAGGAATAGGATGCATGCTCAATTCGAATCTCTGGTATATCTTTCTTTCTTAATTAATGAACTCAAAAATTTCCATCACTTGGATTATATATACGTAGCGAAGGAAATTAAATTTGAGAGTTTAATTATCAATTTATCACAGTTGAATCTTGTAAACTTCTCCGACATATGGTCGTGAAATTTCGCCGGTGAAATATGCTTTTTGTAAGGCGGAACTTTAACACATATGGCTAAAACTATGAGATTTTAGAGGATCGATGACTGAGTCTAAAAGAATAGTATATGACCAATATATAACTCTCTTTTCACAGTTTGAGTTATTGGGATGAATGAATTTTTGATGGTTTTGTGACTAGAGAGTCTTCTATTCGTGTTGGTGTTTGAAAAATCAGAATACTGTCTTATTACCGAAACTACATGGGTTTATATAGAGTACAGAGACTGACTTCTATAATAACCCTAACACTAATAAGAAAATGACCTAACTTCTACGACTCTAATAAGGAGTATAACTCTGCCCAATTATATAGTACAGATACTCGTAGTATAACATAATACTACTCGTGCTACACATACTCTAATACCCTCCCCAAATTGATGTTAATAACTTACCAACAATTTGAAAACCGAAACAAAAAACGACAAAAATTACTACCAACAATGTGACAAAAAAATGAAAAACATAACTTCTCCGCCAAATATGCCAATGTCGATGAAGACCATGTCCAATGGCTCGTGAAACGTCGATGGTGATAAGCTGGAGATAATAAAAGGTCCGCTAAAGTCGTCTAGTCCGTCGAACTAACAGAACCACGTGCTCTGAACAACATCATGGCGATCAGGATGCTCCGAATAGCATCGTCGAAACAGAAACAGAACCACGTGCTCCGAACATCAACATGGCGATCAGGATGCTCCAAATAGCATCATCGAAACAGAAACGAAACAAAAAATGCTCCGAACAGCATTTTCGAACAATACCTCCAAACCGAAACCAAAGTGACGAAACCTATGGTTATATACCAAACCGAGACGAACTTTAACAACTCCGGCTGAAAACCCTTTGCCATCTCCACCATAACCAATTAATCAAGCGAAGCAGCTAATTCCATTACTTTGTCCCAAGAATTCAATTACTTCAAATTCACCAACACCAAAATTCACGTATCCAAGAATAGAGGCTATGCGCAAGCCGGAACCAAGCCATGAAAGCAAACTGGACCCAACAATAGAACGGCTATAGCATACACCAACCGAGAACCTGTGAGCTGGAGACGGACGGAGGCATGGAGACGACCAAAAGCGCTGACGACCGGGAGCTCTTATTCTTGCCAACCAACAAAGCATATTAGCGGGGATGAAGATGAACAAATAAACCACAGAAGTTTAGACACTACAAACAACGACAAGATATGGTTGACCTACAAATTTCAAACTCGTGAGTTGACTTTCGTTTAAGGAGGTATGGTGGACATGTGCAAACGACAAATTCAATGTTTAGTCCTCCCCTTCAACTTGAAGGGGTGTGATAAGGATTTATGTTAATGTATATGGGTCAGTGATGGTTTGTGAATCATAGCTTAAGTGCTATTTTTGCTAGATTCGTTGTACTTACATACCTCTTTTTACAAAAGATAATCATATATATTGATTCGAACAATAGATAATTACATCCTAGAATTTAACAAGACAAGAAAATCAAAGAAACGACACGTAGTCGGGTACAATAAAATGATATTTCTAGCCACTATATGGGCTACCCTATTTCTACTCCGACCTACAAATCGCACATTAAGCCTAGTTTGAATAGCCAAATAGCATCCGACTTCCTCAAGGATGACCCCCATCCGATTATCCCGGGTATCAGCCTGATTTAATTTATCAATTATCACTTTGGCATCTCCTTACAATCTCGTCTCCGTAAATCCTTTCTACAGACACAAGTGAATAGCCTCCCTGAGAACGAGGAGCTCGACTACCATAGGATCATAAATATAAGCAAACTGCACCCCTTTCGCCAAAAGGATCATCCCGCCTTGGTTCATGATAATCATTTCCCCTGTTGAGTTGGGTCACTCTTAGTTGCCCCATCCCACATGCAAATAACTAAATTAGTGTTCCCACCACCTACGTAACTCGCTTGTGGTATGGACGACAACACCACGCGGTCTATTGGCAAACTAATCCACTCCTGATATTGTTGGTGAAATTGCCGCATTAAAGATATGATCCTAAATTGTTTGACCACAAAGAAAATCCAATTTTGCGACTGCCAGATCCGCCAAAGGACCGTGACAACCCCCATAAATAGTTGAGATTGATGTATAAGGACCATCAGCTTCTTAAGGAAGAGTAGAAAAGTGTGATGAGGCAAACCTTGCCCAAGATATTCGAGACTCGAGTGATCCCATAGAGCATTTGCCACTGGGCAATTAAGAAACAAATGTTCCATGGTCTCCAATTCTTCACGAAAAACCAGGCACTTGGGAAGCATAAGAAATTCCTTCTCAATTATGGCTTTCGTCGTTGGGAAGATCTGATGGAAATTTTTTCATAAAAGCACCTTCAAATTGGGTGGAAAATGGGCGCTTCCCACTAGAAGATCCAGCTGGACCTATCCATCCAACTAGCCGTGTATCACCACCTAGGCGCAAGTTTCAAGTCAATCGGAGATCAATTGCTGACTCTGGGTGAGAAACTTGGGAATGACTTGAGGAAGAATGGATTTATACCTCATTTTATTGACAAATAATCATGAAATCTTGTCACGAAAAGAAATAGGACAAGACTACGAGTATCTGGGATCAAACGACACCTGAATCAGAGGTCAAACGAGCTCAAACGAGATCAACGAAGCTTAGGAGTGCATGCTCGAAATTGTGCACGGCCGTGTAAAATTCTGCACGGCCGTGTGGATTTCCCAGGGGGTTTGCACGGCCACAACCTCAATTTTCACGGCCGTGTAAGTAGGGGGTGCGAGTTTCAGCGGGTATAAAAGTTGTTTTGCGATTTTTGGAGAGGGAGAGCTGGATTTTGGATCCCAAACATCCAAGGAACGAACCAAAGAGAGAGAGGGTGATCTAGAGCCATTCATGGAGCTATTTTGGAGGATTTCTTCACCATTGGAGCTCGAGAATCAAGCTTGGAGATGGAGATTGAAGATCTAGATCAGATTCCTGCAGTCTCTCTCTTCTCTATGGAGTAACTTCCCTTCACTTAGGTTTTGAGGAACCCTAGTTCCATATGTTAGGATCTTTCTTGTATGAAGTTTTGGATGCTATATTGTGTGATTATAATCGATTGAGGCATGATTTCTTGAGTCAATTGAATCCTGATCAAATTCTCTTGATTTCTGCTTTAACCTTTGATAGATGGAATCTGATTAGGTTAAGAGAGCTTCGTTGATTGATAGTAGTGAATTGGTTGTGCGAGAGTCAGTCAATTCACTGCTTTGTACTGGAATTCATTTATGTAGTGGATATCTGTGTGAATCGCCTTAGCAGTCTATCCCGGTGAAGGCTAGTAGCATGTCGGGTATTCTGTCTACGAGAGCTTGGTCAGCTTAAGAGATTCCAAGCTAATTTAGGATCTTCCGCAGTTTAATCAACAGTAAAACAACCAAAAGGAATTACAACTTGGACCTAATTGAGGAGCTAGGGGGAATCATACCTAAGTGAGTTCCCAAACTGTAATTAGTAGTTTTACTTAGTTTAGTTAGTATACTAGTTTAGTTAATCAATCCTTAATCTGATTTGCTAGATAATGAACTGAAGCTGAGTAATAGTACATCTAGAGACCATAGGATTCGATATTTATTATTTGCACCACTATACTGCAGTCCCTTTCATTGGTTACACTTGGCCATTGTTAGGTGTTGTGTCGTAGCATGTCAGTGGTCCAATAACTTAGGGAAAGTGATGGGTTTTACTTTTGGATTCTTTTTATGGAATGGTGTTTGGGCAATAAGATAAAGTATTGTTTAGGTATTTCTCTATTTCTGGAATTGATAAGAAAGGGGAAGAAAGGGAGACGTGGATGCAAAAAAACTCATTTCCCTTCCTTCTGCACCACCTCTTTTATAGTGGGGAATATGACTGTACACTACAATATCGGGTCAGAGTGGTGGTCGAATTGGTCTGAGTTGGACACAGACCAACTGGGTTGAACCAACTTGGTTGGACCTAGGCTTTGACCTAGACTTTAAACTGGGCTTTTACTTGGGCTTTGACCTGGATTTTGAATATATTTTTTTTGCAAGCCTATTTCTAAACTTTTAGCGCCCAAATGTCATAAGATGAGAAAACCAAACCCAAAGAGGTTGGTTCTCAAAATCTGAATGCATCCTAAAGTTTAAAACGAAAGAAAAGTTTCCGAAATGTTGGCCTTGCTTACTTCTCTTATCTTTCTAATTGTAATTAGTTATGATGTAATCCTTATGATAATTGCAATATGTAACATTGTATGCTAATTTTAATTTTTGTAATGGTGATGCATGTTTACTACGAATGTGATACAATAACACCATTCATCTTGGGTCGATATGGTACTGAATTGTGATGTTTGATCTTGAATTGTGAGCAAAGTTCATCCATCATTTTGTTGTTGAGTTTTTTGGCATTGTCGGTAATCAACCTTTCTGGCAACCCGTAGCAAAAAATGATCTCATTTTTTTAATGAATTTGACCAACACACTTCTCGTTATTCTCGTATAGGAGGTAGCTTCTACCCATTTAGTGAAGTAGTATATCGCTACTAGGAAGAAACGGTGTCCATTGTCATCTTTAGGTTCGATCATCTCTATGACATCAATTTTCCATATGGAAAAGGCCATGGAGAGGACATGACATGTAGTGGTATTGGCGGCACGTGGACTTTGTCTGCATATATTTGGCACTTGTGGCCATTTTGGACATGCCGAATACAGTCCGCTTCCATTTTCATCCAATAGTATCCCATCCTTAGGATCTTTCGAGCCATGACATGCCCACTAGCGTGTGTCCCACATATGCCTTCATGTATTTCTTCTAATATCCATTGGGCCTCTTTAGCGTCCACG